GGGGCGCTGAGGCCGCGCAGCTGCTGCACCTCGGGGCCGCCGGCCTCCTGGCTCAGGGCCTCGCGCATGCCGGAGCGGTAGAGGGCGCGGAAGTAGTCGCTCTGCTCGATGAGCTTCCTCTTGCTCACCGGGTAGCAGCGGTCCTCCAGGCGGATCTGCACCATCTCGTCGGCCGACATGGCTGGGGGGCCGCGGGCCGCGGGGCCGCCCGCCAGCTCCGCGCGCTCGCCTCCCCGCCCCCGCGCGCTCGCCGGGCTCCGGGTGGGGCGCGCCGAGGGATGGCGCCGCCGCGGAGGACGGAGGCGACGGGAGGCGACGCGAGGCGACGCGAGGCGACGGGAGGCGACGGGCCGCCGCCCGCGCCCGCCTCCGCCTCCGCCTCCGCCCGGCCGGCGTGGGTCGCGGCGGCGCCCCCGAGGCAGCCCCTCCTCCCGGGCCCGGGGGCGGCGGCTCAGCCTCGCTCCGCCGCGGCGCCGGCCCTGCGCGTCTGCTCCGCCCCCGCGCCACGGAAGGCCGGGCGGGCGCGGGCGGGCGCGGGCGGGCGCGCGCGGGCGCGGGGAGGCGGCCGCCGAGCTCGGCCGGGGGCTGCGGGCCGCGGCGGCCGCCCGGGGCTGCCCAGCCCCCAGCCCGCGGCCTCCTCCCACGCCTCGCCGCCCACTTCCGCCCGCAGGAGCCCGCCGCCGCCCGCCCCGCCCGCCGCCGCCCGCCGCCGCCCCCGCAGCCTCCCCGCGCGCCGCGGCTCTGCGCGAGGCGACAGGCAGCGCGGGCGCTCGGTCGTCCACGCTGCTGCACGGGCGGGAAGGGGGAGCCCAGGGAACGGGCGTGGGGGCGCCGGGACGAAGGGAGCCCGGGGTCCCGGGCGTCAAGATGACATCACGGCTGGGACCGCGCGTCTAGCCCAATCCGGCCGAGGGTCCCGGGAGGTGGCGCACGCAGGTGGCCGCGGCGCAGACGCCCCGCGGGGGTCATCGCGGAGGAGCCATCTTGCGGAAAGGAGGCCCGGGCAGACGGCAGCAGGCCCCGCGGGGCTCACGGGGCGCACCGGGCCGCCGCCGCCAAGGGCCGGGAGGCGGGGGGGCTCGTCGGCAAGCTCGCGGCTGCTGCTGGGGCCCGTTAATCCAGTTCAATTAAAGTTAGGCCGCGTGGCTTCCTTTACACTATCCGGGTGTGTGTGTGTGTGTGTGTAAGGACTGTATTTACTTATTCATGACAGACATAGGGAGAGAGAGAGAGAGGCAGAGACCCAGGCGGAGGGAGAAGCAGGCCCCATGCACGGAGCCCAACACGGGACTCGATCCCGGGACCCCGGGATCGCGCCCTGGGCCGAAGGCAGGCGCTGAACCGCCGAGCCACCGGGGCTGCCCTTCACTGTCCTCTAACAGCCTTTGCTTTTCCCTTTTCAGTTGGGTCGGGCTGGACAGGACAGAGCGTGATCCTTGGTGGGGAAAGGTCTGGCCGCTTTCGGTCCTATTGGCCTACGGAGGTGGCTTTCTGGTCACCCTCCTAGTTCCCCTGCCCACGCCCCCGCCCATCTGAGGACGACTTAGAGGGGGGGACCACTCATTCCCGGTCTTCTCTCACTGAACATCGCAAAGAAATGCATGGAAAGCTCACGCCGAATAATACGGACTTCGTGTTGCCCATGAGATACGAATTGATCTTAGAAGGGGGGAGAGGGATACTCTTAGTTTAGCTGGGTTGATGCAGAGGGATAAGGATTAGGAGGGAGCAGGCACTTTTACCCACAAAAAAAAAAAAAAAAAAAAAAAAGAACCTTTGAAAAATTTCCCAGACCGAGATTCTACTATAATAGTCCTCAACTTGGGAAGAAGATGTGTTTGGGCTCTGTTTTTACTATTTTTTTTAAAAAATTTTATTTATTTATTCGTGAAAAACAGAGAGAGGTAGAGACTCAGGCAGAGGGAGAAGCAGGCTCCATGCAGGGAGCCCGATGTGGGACTTGACCCCAGGACTCCGGGATCAGGCCCTGGGCCAAGGCGCGCGCTAACCCGCTGAGCCCCCCCCTACCCCCCCCCACCCCGGGCTGCCCTCTGTTTTTATTATTACGAGTTTCAACTGTCTTCTTGAATGACAAGTCCAGTTGTTAAATGACACCTTCTTCATAAATACATTTCCGCTTTTTTGAAACTAAACAAAATACCTCCTCCTACAATGGAGATCAACAGTCTACATTAGGAAGCGGGAAGAGCTAAAAATCAGAGAAGAAAGAAATCCTTTCGGCACCATTTTGGTTAATTTGTGCTTCTCACTATGTAACTTAGCTACCTGGTAGTGAGGTGTTGTCTTCCATTATTTTCTTCATCATGCACCATGAATAAGGAACTGAAATTTGAAGGACATTGAAAAAAATTCTAGTAGATTCTGGCCTCCCTGGGAAAAGTGAAGGAGACAAAGATGGATCCACAACTTGCCTCATTCATCTTTTTTTTTTTTTCTTTTTTTAAATTCTGCGAAAAACTTCTGGCCTTTCACCTTGTTTCACTTGGTTGGCCTTTAAATCATTACTGGTAAAACTCCATTCTCAGCCAACTTCACACAGTAAGGGTGCATTCTAAGACATTCTATGGTTTTTAGAGGATGAGTGACCATGAATTTAGCAACCTCTTTGGGTAAGGAAAGTGCAATCTCCAGTATTAGACCTTGAGCTGGGGAATTTTGTGGGGAGGCACACCCTCTATCAAAGAGGCTTGGAGTTGGGATTTATTTGTGCCTCCGTCAGCGACAATGCCAGATTCAGTGGGTCAGCCAAGAAGAACAGGCTCTTAGTCTCTTCTCTGTCCTTTTAGAGTCTTTCACCAATGGATGCTTTTGTTTCCAAAAGTCACAGATATGCCTCAGACTGGTATTTTCTTGCCTTTTAAAAACAGACCCAAAAAATCACGCTCAAAGAATGATGCACATTAGAAAGGCAAATCACACACAGTAATATCAGAGTAAGATTAGCTTGGGCAGGGCATCTGGGGTGTTAGTCTGACAATACTGGGCACTGAACTTGTAAGCTTTTTGGCCCTGATAGGGTAATAACGTCATTTAGGACTGGAAGTATCTTAAAAGATCAAATCATTTTTATAACACACAGTAAGCTTTCTGTTCAGCTAGAAATGCAAAGTCAAAGCAATATAAACTCATTTACAAAAGACCTAAAATATTACTTCTAAGCCTCATGAAAATACTGCTTACATATAACTGGTGGTATAATATAAATCTGTCATTGACTGATCAATGAATAATAAAGACTGGCCTTTGTGGTACTATGACTCACTTCAGACACTTTATATTATGATCTTTTTACAAAAGAACTATAGTAAGGGTCAGATATGGGCTGTTTCTTTAAGAATTTATGGAAAATACACCTTTCCCTGGGAATGAAAAAAAAAAAATCAAGGTACAAGATGGTTATCACAGTGTTGCCTTTTAATCATAAAAAAATGGAAAATATAATGTATAATAGTAATAGTAGCTTACATTTATTGAATGTTTATTATATGCCAGGCACTGTTGTCAGTGCTTTTCATGGATTACAATATTACTTTTTTATTCTGTTTTACAGCTGAGGAAGCTAAAGTGCAGAGTAAATTTTGGTACTTGTGTGGAATGAAATACTGTAGAGCCATTAACTTTGGAGATACATGTACATCTTTCTTTAGAAACCCTGAAAAGGGATGCCTGGGTGGCTCAGCGGTTGAGCGCCTTTGCCTTCAGCCCAGGGTGTGATCCTGGAGTCCCAGGGTCGAGTCCCACATCGGGTTCCTGGGGCCTTGGGGCCTGCTTCTCCCTCTGCCTATATCTCTGCCTCTCTCTTTCTGTGTCTCTCTTGAATAAATAAATAAAATCTTAAAAAAAAAAAAAAGAAACCCTGAAAAATAGAATTTTAAACTAAATTTTTAAAAAATGGTTTCTGGAGGGGCACCTGGGTGGCACAGTCGCTTAAGCACCAAACCGTTGGTTTCAGCTCAAGTAGTGATCTCAGGGTCCTGGGTCAAGTCCTGGTGGGTTCCCTGCTCAGTGTGGAGTCGGTTTAATGTTCTGTCTCCCCATCTCTCTCTACCCCTCCCACTTATGCTCTCTCTCTCTCTTTTTTAAGATTTTATTTATTTGAGAGAGCACGAGCGAGCGGGGGGTGGGGGGGGAAGGGAGGGAGGGAGAGGCTGACTGTCCACTGAGCAAGGAACCCCATGCAACACTCGATCCCAGGACCCTGGGATCATGACCTGATCTGAAAGTAGACAGTTAACCAACTGAGCCACCCAGGCGCCCCCCTCTCTCCTTAAATTAAATAAATAAATCTTTAAAAAACAGTTTCTGGAACAGTATCAATCTATTTACGTAAAATTGTATACATGTGTCTATTTCTTATAGAGATGTTTAAAGGATGATAACCAAAGTGTTAAGACTTGTAGGACTGTAGTTTTTATTTATTTTTGTACTTTTCTGTGCAGTTTGGGTTTTTAAAGTGAAATATGTATCAATTTAATACAAAACAAAACATTTTAAGAAAAATGTATTTTTTTCTTTTTAACAAACAAAACTATTTTCCTTTCATTAAAGCATATGGGGCAATTTAAATGAGTTTAAAATAGCACAGTTGTTTAAAAATGGCTCAGGGGCACCTGGGTGGCTCAGTTCATTGAACATCTTGGCTCAGGTCAAGATCTCTGGGTAGTGACAGAAGATTGAGCCACCCACCCACCCACCGCCCTTCAAGTCGGGCTCTCCGCTCAGGTGAGAGTCTGTTTTTCCTTTCCCTCTCTCTCTGCCTCTCCCTTCCCTCTGCCCCGCCCCTTGCACACACGTGTGCTCTCTCAAAAAATTAAATCTTTAAAAATATAAATAAAAATGGCTCATATTTAATTCAGATTGAGCATCTTCATGTATTGAAAACTTTTTTTTTTTTTTTCAGTGTCATGTCCATGTTTTTCAAACATCTTAGGAAATCACCTGGGATATTTATAAGAATTCTGGTTCCCCGGGGTACCAGGGTGGCTCAGTTGTTGAGCATCTGTCTTTGGCTTAGGTTGTGATCCCCGGCCTGTGTCTCTGCCTCCCTCTCTGTCTCTCTCATAAATAAATAAAATCTTAAAAAAAAAAAATCTGGTTCCCACACTAGAGCAATTGAATCAGGCTCTTGGATGAGATGAGAGGTTTTTAAGGTAAAAATCCAGTTTTGAACCCCTCTCAAGAGCACCCAGTTGGAAATAAGTACAATATATCACTGCATTGCAATAGTGTAATGGTTCTGAGTATTTGATAAAATTTATACAAAGGCTATAGAGCAATGTTTTACCCACAACTGCTTTCTGGTTTCTGCAACTTCATCTCACATGGACACTTTTTTGAGACTAGATTCTGGGCCACATATCTCAGCCCATTGTGGATTCTTCCTTCTGTCCCTGCAGTCCAGTTTCTATCTCTCCTTTTTAAAATACTTGGCTCCGAGTTCCTGGTTTCCAGACTGAATGTTTATGCAATCACACACACACACAATGTTCTTAAAATTTTAAAGCATGCTTTTATGTCGGAACTTGGAGATTCTTTAAAATGCAACTTTGATCTTTACTTGAACATCATTTGACAGCAAAAGGATTAAGCAACTGTGGATTGCACCATTATCCCTGCAGTATACATGAGAACTTCAAGGAATTATATATCACAGGAAAGAAAATGCATTTAATGGGACTGAAAGACATGGAGGTTAGAAGGTTAGAAAGCTGACTATCCGGTTTATGTCCCCAGGGCATGAACTAATCGAAGTATCTGTGGAACCTCATGGAGTACAGGGAGTAATCTTTTGTTCCTCACCTGTCTCATGCTTTGCCATTAGGAAACCTCTCTTCCCTTTCCCCTTGGAACAGATAGAACAGTCTGATTATTTGCAGGTAAGCAACTGAAACTTGCTTTCTATGAGAAGTTCAATAGGATAACGTATTTATCATTTTTAGTGTATTTTATATGGATTACGCAAGGTTAGGAGTTAATCTGTTATAATGTTTATTTAGGAGAAAGTGAAATGTTTTGTTTTAAGTTATTCAGCCTCTTGAATATTTTCTTATTAAGTTATATGTTTTTAAAAATCAAAGGATATGTGCTAGGCTATTATTACAAAACAGGTAGAGATGAAAAATCAAAGAATATTAACATCTTTGTGTCAAGTAAGTGAATGAATCATTGTGTTAAAGGTATGAAAGAAATCCAGATCACAGGATAGAAAAAGCTTCATCTTTTTTTTTTAAATGAGCATTATATGTGAAAAGCATGATTTTCACTCATGCTTGGTATAAAAATGGATACAAAAAACAGCAAGTTTCATGCTTTGAGCTAATTTGTCATCTTGGACATCATCATGGGATATAGAAACTATAATCTTCATAAAAATGAGAAACCATTTTTGCTGCCTTTAGTATCTTTTCAAATATTTTGGCATTGCAATTGAAATTTTGTTAATGTTTAGAAACTTAAAACCATTTCATCATTTCCCTAATACACATTTCTTAGCAACTATATCTGCTCCAGAGATACTATGCCATTATGTATATGCTTCACAAGGAAGTATCCTTTATAACTTGCAAACTTGAATATCAAAAAATAGATTAGATAGCCCCCGTTTTGAACTTCTTCACAATTTTCAGCTGTAATGCTTTTCATTTACGTTTTTTAAAGAAAGATTGTGGCTGGCCTTTTTTAGGGGGAAAATATGCCTGGCTCCCAGAAATGACTAGGATCCACATATCCACATTCAATGTTTTCAAAATCACTGAAAAATTAAAATTTAATTTTTTTTCATTTTCGGTTTTCATTCACTTTCAAGGTTTTTGTTTTGTTTTGTTAGTAAAAACAAAACATTTAAACCAGTGCACAAACTGGTTTTCTGGTGAACCTGAATTCACAGGAAAAAAAAAAAAAAGATTGAAAAAAAAAATCTGCAGTCACAGGTTCCTTTAAGACCATACAGCAGTCCCCTTACAAAACCATGTCTTGTTTGTGGTGAAATGGATCCTTACTTTATCTGACGTCAAGTGACTAAATTATTGTTTTCCTCAGAAAGACTCTTGGCTAGGGTTTCCATTTGTCTTTATTTTACTTAGTAAGAGGTGTCTGTGACTATTCACGTTCAGTAAAAGAAGAAAAGCAGAAGAGAGAATCCACGTCTTCAAGAGACTAAGGGACAGAGTATCGAAATGGCCTGGAAAATGTTCAAAATTAACGTCAGAAAGTCAAATGTTCACCAAGGGCTCAGCTGGGAAGAAATAAAAGAAAAATCAATATGCAAAGAATGGCTTCATTTTTCTAGAAGGTGACCCTCCAGGACAGTCCCTTAGCCAACAGCCTCGAAGTTCCAGAAACTGTCCCAAACCCTGATGGTCAGCTCCGGCATCTATCTGGAACTCAGACTTCTTACCCAATCTTTATACCAGGGAAATGCATGTGGCAGTGGTGGCAACATCCTTGGTACTGCTCCTAAGCATGGCGTGGACCTCAGACTCTCTCTGCTCACCCACCATTTTTTACAGAGACTGTTGGATCCGTCGCTTTCCAGGTCTCTTGATTGACCTGGAGGAGTCTCAGAAGCTGGGAGCTCAGTTCCTGAAATATTACTCTGAAAGCACTGGCCAGAAATGCAGCAGGAGCTGCTGCCTTAGGAAGGATGGTAAGTATTAATGATACGCCCATGCAAAAATCAGGAGAAACTGGTAAAATGAAGACCTAAGTAAGGAAACCTAAGCAGAGGTTCCAGTGAACGAACAGATGAACAGGACTAGGGAAGATGAGGGAGAGACATGGGGATGGGAGAGAGTGGGAGAGAGATTGAAACTGACTTTACCGTCTGGGTCAGTACTGGCTCAGTTTACAAATCTGGTAATGAATGACCCACAATACCATGAAACCTACAGGTGACAGAAAATCTTCTTTTCTTCACTAAAGTGCTAAATAAAAATATTTCCTCAAGGGTTAACTAAATATTTCCATAGCCCGCAAATACGGCATATATGATTTCAAAAATATAGTAATTTCCTTTCCAATGTTCTTTTGGTGATACTGGTATTTCAAATTTTTGAAATGTGCTTGCTTGTGTTGAGCAAATGTGGGTTGCATTGAACAGGAATTTAGACTGTGATTGATGTTTTGAAAGACATAGGTAGATATATATGGCAAATAGCAAGAAGAAAGAAAAGAAATATATATTTTAAATATTCTGATTTTTTTGTCTGAAATCTAGAATCAGAGTTAAACATCATCCATGTAATATGATTAAGGTTTATAATTAGGAAAGCATTTCATTATTGCAGAATTGTCTAGAGACTTCTTTCATTTGTTTTTCATTTTTCCAAGGTTTTAGAGCTACTTGGAAAGAAACAGCAAAAGCAACACAACACTTTAAAATGATTCTCTTGATTCTTCCACACTTTCTTTCCATGGTTTGATATGAACTTATTGCCAGTGCCTCCTATCCAAGTATGCATGTAAGATTTCTGGGATGCAGACTGGAGCTACTGGAGGGTGTAAACTGACCACAGTGTGAGAAGCTGTCCCAGGCTAAGCGCTCAAGAATAATCAGGCACACAAGGGGGGGGGCAATTGATTTATTAGAGGGAAATCTTTTTGAAAAAGTTTCCAATCCAGATTTTCACCTTAGAGATGCTTCTCATAAGCTGTTCCAGAAGCCTTGAGGGAAGATGGGTGAGGGGGGATACTTTTCGGCATTTTCCCATGGCACCAACTTACCTGACTGTCCACTGCAAGGAAAGTTTGTCCTCTGGACTTCCGGAGGACTATAAGCATCCAGCAGAATTCCATGATTTTAGAGCCTCTGTAGCTTCCAAATTGTGGTTTTCTTCCTCCAGAAGAAAGGGCACGAACACACGTCTGTTTTTTAGATGGAAGCCAGAACTTTAAAAAGTCACAGTCCTGCAATAGTTAACCTGTTCAGAGCTAGAACTCTAAAGTGTACACAAAGAGGTACATAAAAAAAAAATCTTTCAAAACTGTTCTCTACAGCATCAACTGCTTTCTTATACAAAATTTAGATGTCTAAATTTGAGTGTTTTTTAGCCCTTTCCCTTGAACCTGACAGCAGTCTTCAGGGAATGCATCTGTAATCTAAAAATGTCTGAGTAATATATTATTCATTGACTTCTGCCCTCTTCTTTATTCTACTGGAAAAGTAAGGAATGCAGAACCATGGGATGTCCCAGAAGTAATGGGGGAGATGCAGCACCCCACAGTTAACCTCACACAGAGGCAGCACAGGTCTGGCCAGCAGCAATTCCACAACAGCTGTAGGCATACTCTGAGGTCTGGTAATTGTATGCTATCCCTCTGTAATCTTGTTTTATTAAAGAAGTTGATACCTTTGGCCAGTGGATATTTCCTAGCACATGGTTCCTACTGCACTGAAGTTGGAGGAAAATCTGTTTTGCACTTTACAGAGGACAGATTGAAGACTGGCACTCAACAAATCGGACTTCAGGTTTTCCAGAAATAACATGATACATTTTAAGGAGCAAACTTATTTGGTAAAAGGGAGACAGCATGAGTAAGTGATATACCTCTACCCATTAGAATTCCAAATGTTAACATCCTTGTCAGTAGACTCTCTTCCTCTTTAAGTGACACTGAATAAGCTCTTCATTGGCTGTGCAATTTGCAACATGGGGCTAGTGCTCCCCTACAATCAGGGTCAGGGTAGTGTTCACCTGGCCTGCTGCCTTCCCACCATCTGGGCCTCTCCCAGTAATTGCCGTTTTTGCTTTCCCATTACTGCCTCTTTTGTTACAACATCTGTCACTTTATTTTCGTTATTTCTCTCGTGAACTCCAGTACCTTAGCATTCTGAGAGGGCCCTGGAACTAGAAATCTGATATGTACAAATCCCCAGAGGCTTCTGTAGCTAAACGAATTTTTCACAAACATAAAATACTGGGATTGGAAAATGATTCCAGGTAATTCTCTGCAGAATGGAGTATGTGAAACATTAAAGAAAATCAGTGGATAGTTTCTCTTAAAGAGGCATTTTCCACATTCATAGAAACACTTACTGTAGTTCATAATGTTCTGTAAAATGTCTGAATACAGCCCTGCAATATACTGCTGTTAATCCAATGTTCTTTTTTTTTTTTTTATTTACTTATGATAGTCACAGAGAGAGAGAGAGAGAGGCAGAGACACAGGCAGAGGGAGAAGCAGGCTCCATGCACCGGGAGCCTGATGTGGGATTCGATCCCGGGTCTCCAGGATCGCGCCCCGAGCCAAAGGCAGGCGACAAACCGCTGCGCCACCCAGGGATCCCAATCCAATGTTCTTGAAAGAAATCTAAGTTACTCAGAACTCATCAAGCTGATAGAAATCAAAACCATCTACAAATGCACTTTTCCTTTCAGTTTCCTGTAACGTGGCTGTCTTCTACCATGATCCTATTCATGACAATGTCAACTGCCTCCACATTCACTGCCCAACATTGGAGAGCTGCATATTAGAGCCTGGAACCAGTGCCATTTTATACAACATAACAGAAGGTAATGATTTATGTATTTTGCACATATTTTGAAGAATGTTGGTAATGTTCTAGTAGAGACATAAAAACCTAGAAACTGGCTGACAATAGGCATGTATGAATCCCTGAATCATCATTTTCCAGTGCCTTCTATCTGGAAAAGTTTCGGGCATCCAGGGCAAACAACCAAAAGTATATTTCCGTTAGTTCGGCCTGCTTGGCAATGATGAGTTCATTGCAGATGATAACAAATCATATGTGACTGAAGAAGAGCTTAAGCATTATCTTTATTCCAGGAGCCCCCAGCAAAAACCAAAATAGGCATTTCTACTCCAGTAGCTAAAGATGCTACTAGAAATAAAGAAAACGCTTAATGGCAGTTTTGAGGTCAATTGACACCACATACAAGGATTTGACAAAGATGGATGTCAAAGACAATGAAATACACCTACTAAAATACATTGCCATACCAATGGTCCCAAGATAACCAGTATACTTTTAGAAAAATACACATTTAAGAGTCCCTTCCCTATGTATGTAAACTCAGGGTGCAAACTGGTAAATATGAGAGAATGGATCTTTGCCATCAATATACAAACGAGATAAATTTCGTCATCAATTGGTACTTACTGAACACATAATACTGCAGGCTGTGAGCAGCACTGCAGAAGATGGCAGCCATATCTCTGCCCTCAAGTTACTTATCGTCTAGTTGATATGACAAGTCTCACAATTAGTATAAAAAGTGTAGGTGAATTTTAAAAATGTGTGATACTGCCTCAAGTATTCAACTAACACTCAAAAGAGGAGGAGACTAAAGAAAACTAAATTCAGGGATCCCTGGGTGGCGCAGCGGTTTGGCGCCTGCCTTTGGCCTGGGGCGTGATCCTGGAGACCCGGGATCGAACCCCACGTCAGGCTCCCGGTGCATGGAGCCTGCTTCTCCCTCTGCCTGTGTCTCTGCCTCTCTCTCTCTCTCTCTGTGACTATCATAAATAAATAAAAGTTTTTTTTTTTTAAAAAAAAAGAAAACTAAATTCAGAGGCAGCTTCGTGGGAGAGGCCAGGCAGAGGCAAGATAAGGAGTTCTTTATCACATCATGGGAAGGTATGAAAACAGGTCTGGCTACAAATAGGGCACATTTGGGGTTGCAATGAAAATATGGGTAAGATAGAGTAGGCCAGATTACCAAAGGGCTTTGGATAGAGTAGTGTTTTGTTTTGACTTTGTCACCAATAGAGAACCAGCAAAGGTATTTAATGAGAAAATGCCATCATCAAAGTGATGAGTGTGATGGTCTTTAAGAAAATTATATGCAGGATGCAAATTAGAGTATCTAGTCAGGGAGGCATTAGATCTGGAGTAGGGGACCATAACTCCAACAAAGAGGAGGGATGATTATCAGTACATTGGGAGGTAACTGGATAGGACCTTAGTAGGAAAAGAAGTGAGAGGAGTCAAAAATTGTACCACAGTACAGATAGCTTCCAGCATGGGTGATGGAAGATTGATGAGGTTACTGAAAGAGACAGAGAAGAGCCAGGCAAAGGATTCTGGCTTTGGGAATGTTCAGTGATGACTTGAGATGTCTAGGCGGGAACCTTCAGTAGAGTATAAGAGAAATGAGACCAGAGACCAAGAAAAAGGAAATAACTGGTGATGTGGATTTCGGTGCCACTGACGTAGTGGTCAGTTGACGAGGATAATCTTGTATGTGGTGAAGGGGGGAGATGCAGAGAAAATTCAGCAGAAGACAAAGGATGAGATTGTGGAAAGCACACAACTGGTTAGGACCAAGAAGAAAACCAGCTAAAGAAAGAAAAAGTGAGAAGCAGGTAGGCTGAGGTAAAGTACCAAGAGAGTCTCTGCTCCTGGGAGTCTTGGGAGGAGAATTTTAAGGAAAGGATGGCATGGGCAGCTCTGGTGGCCCAGCGGTTTAGCACCACCTTCAGCTTGGGGTGTGATCCTGGAGACCCAGGATCGAGTCCCACATCGGGCTCCCTGCATGGAGCCTGCTTCTCCCTCTGTCTGTGTCTCTGCCTCTCTCTCTCTCTCTCTATCATGAATAAATAATTTTTTTTTTAAAAAGGAAAGGATGGAAGTATTGGGAATAAAAGTCAAAGCAATGAAACTGATCAGGAAATATGGAAACTACTGATTACCTCAGAAGAATAATTCTGACAGAATAGTGAGGATGGAATAAGATGGCAAAAGGTAAACAACAAAGTAAAGAAAGGGATGTTGGTATGTCTAGAGGGGGAGAGGGAGAGGGAGGGAGAGACAGAAACTGATAGGAGAGATGATTGGAAAGCTGTTGAGTTTTTTTTTCCCCCTTTATAGATGAAGCAATATTTGCCATGTCTGAAGTCAGAGGGAAAGGAGTTCCTTTACAAGAGAGAAAATACCGAAGACAAAGTTAGGATCCTCAGGGAACAGGAAGGGAGGAGACAGAAGGCTTTGCTCATGATTTTGAATACAGTTACACTTCTCAGGCTCAATTTTTAAAAACTTTGTTTGAAAATGCTCTATATCTCAAATGGTTGTTGGTTTGGTTTTTGTTTTTTTTTTTTTCAATTCTTGCACTAACTTGGCTATTGTTACCCAAAAACCCTGGCAGATGCAAAGGTTCCTCCATGATGTAGCCAAATTTGTTCATAACGGGAAGCGTTGTCAAAAGTTAAGATAAATTCAAATGTTTATAAGTCTTTAGGAGGAATGTAATAGAACTTGAACTTAAACTTAGTTTACTAACTCAATGGCAAACGCAAGACTTCTCCAAACTGTGCTTTGAGGTTCTCTCCTTGAAATAAAAAATAAAATGATGATGTCTTATTTATCTTTCAGGTATAGATCCAGATTTGCTGATTTTTGAACAGTCACCTCCCACATACCTAAATACTCGTTCTTCATCTAGCCCATGGGACAAACTAAGGATTCTAAAAGCTACGAATTTAGATAAACAACAAACCACCATGATAAACCAAATGCTACCGTCAATGGTGCCATCATTAACCACACATCAAGATTTGGTTGTCAACACAAACAATAGCAGGTATTCCAAGGAATTAACCACAGGTTCTTGGGCAAGATTCATTTCCCTAAATGACTCCATTACCACAGAGATAAATACGGTGTCACACAGTACTGATTTTATCAACAATCCAGATAACAAGACTGTTTCTCCTTTCTTTGTTCCCATAGACACAAAACTTTTTCATAGGCCTATTCCATCCCGACTCAACAGTAGCAAGCAATTACTAAACAAAACCAAGGGGTCCAACAGCAGAAACCACACATCTGAGAATGAAGACATGACACCTGATGGGACATCTGTGATATCAAAGATGTGGCTGGTTCCGGTGGCCCTCTGTACCTCTGTCATCTTTCTTTGCTGTTGTATAATCATCTTGGCATCTGGATGCTGCAGAAAGCAGCAAGGCCAGTATAAACCAGGAAAGAGAAAGTCAGGATCCAGACAAATTAAAAAAATTAACATTCTAAAGGAGAACTTTTAATAGCCAAAATTACAGAGAGATTGTAAGCTTTCAAGAGTATCATTTTTAGTTTTCTATAGGACAAGGGCAGTGTGTAAAAAAAAAATTGCACAGGATGCTCACTCCTACCAATCTCTGAAAAAGGCCAATGCTTGATAAACTTAACTGCTTTTTTTTTTATTACTTCCATTTTCTCGAGCAGTGTACCAAAGATCCAAAATCCTGACCCCTAGTTATTGAGCACTGCAAGAGAGATATGCTTCTATGTGCTGTACATGTCTTCACTCATTGATATAACTTTATGAGTTAGCATACTTTTATTAACCATTATAGTATTATTATATTTTACAGATAAGGAAAATGGGAAGAGAGGCTAAACATCCTGCCTAAAGTCACACAGGTTGTATAGTGAAGCCAGGACTTAATAGGTAATCTGGTTCAAAAGTTCATACTTGAAATCACTATTAGATTAAAGGCCTCCATTTTCCCAAAAAGCATGGAAAAAAGATACAGAGAGGAAAATACTGTAACATCATTTGTCTGTCAAGGTCAAATTATTGTCATGGACGTTAATAAACTCTTTTAGTGGTTTGGACAGAAGAGCATTATTATTAGAGTTACTAACCTATGTGCAAATGCTTTGTTATAGTTTTAATGTTCAATTGATGAATTCTTCTTAATCCTAAACTATCTTCATTTTTAAAAGCTGACATGCCTTTAAATAACTTTGGTACTGGAATCTGAGTTTTGTGTTGATCTCTGTTGAATAAAGCTTGGGAGTTTTAGCTTACATCCTTCACTTGTATGCATTCTTTTCCCAGGTGCAAATATTACCTGCAGGTATTTCAGCTCTGTCCCAATATTAAACCAGAACTACACAGCCCCCTCAAAGTGCAGGCACTTTAATTCAAGTCTCCAATGATTTGAAACTTTAGGCCCTTAATCTAATCCTTGAAACCTTTTTGAAATGTGAGAATAGATATTAAAAGATAGCTAATAAGCATGAAGAATAGATAAGAAAAAAATACTATTACAGGAGTAATAAAATAGTACTGTTTTCTCTTGTATTAAATTGTTCAGTGGATTAAGAGGTGTTTCTGTTTCTTTCTCTTGGGGGGTGGGGGGGCGCAGAGTCGATTTCTGTAAAAAAAATATACAAAATCTCTATCAGTGGAATATTAGCCACAAATGAAAGTCTGAATTTAAAAATTTCATTAATTTATCCTTATTTGCTAGTCATTATAAAATATCATGCCCATACTATGTAGGGAGGATATAAAGATTTAAACTATCCTAAACTTATAAATAAATAATTCAGGAAGCAAGCAGTCTTTAAAAATTATTTGTATATACAATCTTTGAAAAGATTTCTTTAAAATATATACAAGTTATTTAAAGGTTTCCCAAAAAAACTAGGGCTACTAAAAGTTCTTTTTTTCCCCTTGGTGTTTCACAGAATTTGCTCATTTCCTAAAATTGATAGTTTTATAGAAATGATAATTTGAGAAAACATATTTACCTTTGTAAGAAAATAAACTCATATTCCTTCCCTTGTTCAGCCACTACCTTAGACCATCAGATAAACTGAGTAAATTTATTAGGCTGTAGGTATGACCAGACCAGAGTCAGCCAGGAAGCAAAAACTGCAGGCCTAGAAACCATGTCCTTCCTGGAAACCCCAAGGACCAAAAGAGAACTGAATAGAATTTGAAACTTTCCTAAGAAACAAAGATTCTCAAGGCCCAGTCAAAAACCAAGGCCAAGTGTAACCAATTGTTACACTCAGTTGCAAAGTAACCATGATACTGAAATTTGTCCAACACTGTAACTAGCCAGACCTCTTTTAAAAGTCTGTAACTGGCCAGTATAATGAAATACTTACCAGTGTTGGGAAGAATCTATGCAACATAAGAACTGAAGTATGCTACAATTAAGGAAACAGATTTGTCCTATTTCTTAGTTGCCTACATGTTCAAGCAACCTCTGAGTTATGTAACTTTAAAGTTTGAAGTCAGCAGTAACTGCATATTGATGCAGCAAATATCCCTGAGATTCGTTGTAAGGATAAATATGATTATGTTCATTGTTATGTTCATATTGGCTCAATTAATAAAGGACAAAGATCCGACTAATAACAGTGCTGTTTAATCATTGCTAAAATTACAGTAACAGTAACTGCTTTCCATTTGAGGCAGTTCTGTATTAATCTTACAACTGTAAGATTATGCCATTAGGTGTCTATGTTACAGCCTGTCTTCAGGTCAGTTGCCTGGAGATAACCAAACTGCAAAGACTAGAGGGTACAATGCTCTACAAGACACCAAGTATCAGTCTGGAGTGGGGAGATCTGGCTTAAGAATCCCTCAAGTTTGACTGATTGACTAGAATGATTCACAGCACTCAAGGAAAGTTGTTATACTCACGGTTATGGTTTATTACAGGGAAAGGATATGGATTAGAATCAGCCAAGGGAAGAAGCATGTAGGAAGAAGTCATACAGGGTTCTCTGTGTTGTGTGTGTCCTCTTCCCCTGGAAGCAAGATGTGCTACTTTTCCTGTACCAGTGTATAATATGCCTAGAGTTTTGCCAACCCGAGAAACCTGCCTGAACTTCAGTGCTCAAAATTTTTATAGAGGCTCTATTACCTGGGTATTACAGAGATTACCTGGGTGGTTAATCTCTGCTGCCAGGTGGACTGATCCCAGCTGACTCAATGCCCCTCACTAAATCATTGGTTTTCTGGCATGGCTGAGACTGTCAGGTGTGGCCAGCCCCACTCTAAAATCCATTGTGACTGGCTCTCACCCTAAACAAACATACTCCTATAAGGTATGACATAGATGACCTTCTAAAAGCTGCAGGCAAAGGTCAAAACGTCTCTTTGGGCCAGGTCAAATTCTTTATCACATATCATTACTGCTTTCATCTGCACTGTATTATTACTACAGGACAGATTACCCTAATCAACCACCTCTTTACATGTTCTTAAATGATCATTTCTCCTCAACCTGTTTTCAAAATGTTTCCTTCTTCAATCCTGTTTCTGCATCTGAATTTCTCTAAACTCCATGAATCTCTAAGAAATATACCATTTAAATATATTTAAAGTATGTTTTAAACTGACCTAAAAGTTGTGTTACCTAACATTGCTTTTCATTTATTATTTCCAAACACTGGATTACAACTCATCTCTCCTTTTTGCAATTAAGTTCATCTTACTGTCCTCAACAACATAGATTTCTGGCCTTGTTAATAGTATATCATACCTTCATTTCATATAAATCCTTTGGATAATTGTTTTGAAATTCTTTTTGGCTTTCATTTATGTTCTCTAATTCTGTTAGGCAAAATAAGTCTCAGACAAACAACAAACTCAGTAATTCCTCTATTTTAACTTAATCACAACTTTGGAAATGGTAAGAAGTAACAGATATATTTAAAAATACTGAATTGACAGCTAAATTGAATGGAATGTTTCATAGAGTAGTTCTTATTTTATAGTTTACTCCAATTAATTTCTAGGTCCTTTTATCCCTTATCTCTTTTCTGAGCTGTAGAAGCTCAAACTGGGGATCTAGAGAGACCAATACCAGTTAAGCTCCATTCCCACTTTTCTGTAAGCTTGGGCTTGAAGAACTGACCCCAGAAAACAGAAAGGAGGATGCTAAACAGAGCTGAAGTAAGCCCAAAAGAGAGGAATGGAACAAACTTTCCAGGTTAGAAAATACTTCCAAGGAGCTGTTTCTAATCAGAAATGGCATCTATGAAAAATGCATTGGGTAGAGTTATGTAAAAAAAGCACTGAACTATATTCAGGGGCCTGGGTTCTGGGCCTAGCTCTCCAAATAACCAAAATCATTACAGCTGGTCCCGACTTATGACTCAACTTATGATTTTTCGATTTTACAATGCTGTGAAAGCAATAACACATTCTGTGGAAACCACACTTCAAATGTTGAATTTTGATCTTTTCCCAGACTAGTGATATGAGATGATATGTTTTTGTGATGCTGGGCGGTGGCAGCCACAGCTCCTATTCAGCCATGTGATCACAAGAATAAACAACCAGTACACTGACAACCACTTCATACCCATACAACCATTCTGTCTTTCACTTTCAGTACAGTATTCAATAAATTATAGGAGACATTCAACATCTCAGTATAAAATAGGCCATTACACATTCTTCTCGAGTGCACATGGTACATTCTCCAGAATAGATTACATAGTGGGTCAAAATCAGGTCTCAATCAGTACAGAAAGACTGAGATCGTATCAAGCATATTTTCAGATCACAATGCTTTAAAACTTGAACTCAATCACAAGAGAAAATTTTGAAAAAACAAATACATGGAAAAAAAAGAGCATTCTACTAAAGAAATAATGGATCAACCAGGAAATTAAAGAATTTAAAAAATACATAGAAACAAATGAAAATGAAAACATGACAGTTCAGAACCTTTGGGATGCAGCAAAGTCGCTTCTAAGAGGAAAGTGTATATAAGCAATAAAAGCCTTTCTCAAGAAATAAGAAAAGTCTATAATACACAACCTAGCCTTATACCTAAAGGAGCTGGAAAAACAACCAAAAATAAAAGTCTAAACTCAGCAGAAGTGAATCAAGATTAGAAAACAATGAAATAGAAACCAAAAGAAGAGTATAACACATCAACGAAACTAGGAGCTGGTTCTCTGAAAGAATTAATAAGATCAATAAACCCTTAGATTTAACAAAAAGACCCACATAAAATCATGAATGAAAGAGGAGAGATTACAACCAACACCAAAGAAATACAAACAATTATAAGAGAATATTATGAGCAATTATATACCAACAAAGTAAGTAATCTGGAAGAAATAGATGCATTCCTAGAAACATATTAAAAACCAAAACTGAAACAGGAACAAATACAAAACCTGAACACAAACCAGCAAAGAAATTGAAGCAATAATCAAAAATCTCCCAACAAACAAGAGTAGAGGGCAAAATGGCCTCCCAGCAGAATTCTACCAAGCATTTGAAGAAGAATTAATACCTATTCTTCTGAAGCTGTTTCAAAAATTAGAAACAGATGGTGGAACACTTCCAAACTCATTAGAGGCTAGCATGACCTTGATCCCAAAACCAGACAAAGCCCCCACCAAAAAGGAGAATTACAGACCAGTATCCCTGACGAACATGAATGCAAAAAGTCTCACTAAAACACTAGCTAATAGGATCCAATGGTATATTAAAAAGGAGTATTCACCACGACCAAGTAGGATTTATTCCTGGGCTGGAAGGGTGGTTCAACATCCACAAATCAACCAATGTGATACACATTAATAAAAGAAAGGATAAGAACCATATGACATTCTCAATAGGTGTAGAAAAAGCATTTGACAAAATAAAGCATTGATAAAAACTCTCTGTTGTGTAGGAACAGGAGGAACATACCTCAATATCATAAAAGCCATTTGCAAGAAACTGACAGCAAATATAATCCTCAAAAGGGAAAAACAGAGCTTTTCCTCTAAGGTCAGGAACATGATAGGGATGTCCACTCTCACCACTACTGTTCAACATAGTATTAGAAGTCCTGGCCTCAGCAATCAGACAACAAAAAGAAATAAAAGGCATCCAAATCAGCAAAAAAGTGAAATTCTCATTCTTTGCAGATAACATGATTCTCTAGGTGGGAAACCCAAAAGACTCCATCCCAAAACTGCTAATCTCATACAGGAATTCAGCAAAGTGGCAGGACATAAAATCAATGCACAAAAATCAGTTGCATTTCTATACACAATGAGGCCGAAGAAAGAGAAATCAAGGAATCCATCCCATTTACAATTGCACCCAGAACCATAAGATACCTAGGAATAAACCTAACCAAAGAGGTAAAGGATTTGTACTCTGAAAACGATTAAACACTTATAAAAGAAATGAGGAAGACAAAGAAATGGAAAAACATTCCATACTCATGGATTGAAGAACAAATACTGTTAAAATGTCTATACTACCCAAAGCAATCTATACATTCAATGCATCCCTATCAAAATACCATCAACATTTTTCATAGATGTGGAACAAACAATCCTAAAATTTGCATAGAACCAGAAATGACCCCGAATACCCAAAGCAATCTCGAAAAAGAAAACCAAAGCTGGAGGCATCACAATTCCAGACTTCAAACTCTATTACAAAGCTGTAAGCATCAGTACGGTATGTATGGTACTGGCACAAAAAACAGACACACAGACCAATGGAACAGAATAGAGAACACAAAAATGGACCCTCAACTCTATGAGCAACTAATCTTCAACAAAGCAGGAAAGAATATCCACTGGAAAAAAGGCAATCTCTTCAAAAATAGTGTTGGGAAAAGTGGACAGCGACATGCAAAGAATGAAATGACCACTTATATCATACACAAAAAATAAAGTCAAAATGGATGAAAGATCTAAATGTGAGACAAGAATCCATCAAAATCCTAGAAAATACAGTCAGAAACCTCTCTGACTTCAGCCACAACAATCTTTTGCTAGACAAATCTCCAAAGTAAAAAGAAACAAAAGTAAAAATGAACTATTAGGACTTCATCAAGATAAAAAGCTTTTGCACAGCAAAGGAAATAGTAGACAAAACTAAAAGGCAACCTACAGAGGGAGAGAAGATATTTGCAAATGTGTTATCAGATAAAGGCTAGTATCCAAAATCTGTAAAGAACTTATCAAACTCAATACTCCCCCCACCCCCCAAAAAAAATCCAGTCAAGAAATGGGCAGAAAAAAATGAATACACACTTCTCCAAAGACATACAAATGGCCAACAGATACATTAAAAAAATGTTCAACATCACTTAGCATCAGGAAAATACAAATCAAAACCACAATGAGATATTACCTCATTCTGCCTTAGCAGAATGGCTAAGTTAACAACTCAGGAAACAATAGATGTCGGTAAGGATGCAAAGAAAGGGAAACACTCTTACACTGCTGGTGGGAATGCAAACTGGTGCAACCACTCTGGAAAACAGTATGGAGGTTCCTCAAAAAAGTTACAAATAGAGCTATCCTATGATCCAGCAATTGCATTACTAGGTATATCCAAAGGGTATAAAAATGGTGATTCAAATGGGCACATGCACCACAATGTTTACAGCAGCAATGTCCACAATTGTCAAAATTCAGAAGGAGCCCAGAAATCCACTGACAGATGAATGAATAAAAAAGATGTGATATATATATATAGCACATGTATGTAATATACACACACACACACACACACACACATATATAAATATTACTCAGCCATCAAAAAGAAGGAAATCTTACCATTTGCAACAACATAGATGGGAACTAGAGGATATTACGCTAAGTGAAATAAGTCAGTTGGAAAAAGACAAATCCATATGATTTCACTCATGTGGAATTTAAGAAACAAAACAGATGAACATTGGGGAAGGAAAGGAAAACTAAAATAAGGTGAAAATTGAGGCGTGGCAAACCATAAGAGACGCTGAATTCTAGGAAATAAACTGAGGATTGCTGTAGGGTGGGGGGATGGGGTAACAGGTGATGGGCATTAAGGAGGGCACTTGATGTAATAGCACTGGGTCTTTTACGTAACTGATGAATCACTAAATTCAACGTCTGAAATAAAAAAATCTGATGTCGTTTTTTTTTAGCATTTTCAAATTTATATCAAATGAGATAATGATCACAGATATATCATAAAATTAATACATCAAGTAGATTTTTCTACATAAATCACATTAGATTTAATAGTTTCTTCACTGATTCTTTGTACTGAGAAAGTGTATTTTCATTGTCCCCCTTGTTCTTAAGGCTAACAACAGACTTTTTGTAATCTTCGACTTCCTTTGTACCAAGGAGCTCTTCTTTATTTACTTCCAGATTTTTCTCAGCAGCTTTCATTTGGAGAAGTGTTTGTAGGATATTTTTTTCAGAGGAGCTATTTTCCCATATATACTCTTCCATGTCTGCTTCAGTCTTATCTTTCTCCCATTCTTCAGTTTTCTGAAAGGAAAAAGTGAGTTCTGAAATCTGAGAAATACTACCCCAAAACAAAGTTTTGTTTTGTTTTGTTTTAGGGAAAGGGAATTTGCAGAAATATGGAGAGTCCCTGTCAGCACTTTGTATGTCACCTCCAACTTACCTCTCTTACAGCACTGCTATCCCCCTGCACCAACTGTCTCAGGACCACACACTGTTAACGTGACTATTCCACTACGACTCACTAACTCTACCCACATAGCTTACACTTATCTGCCTTGCAAAGTTCACACATAAAGCGATACTCTTTCCCAAAAAGATATAGGAAACTCATTTTTTGCAGCTTTCTATCTATCTAATCCCTAAACTCTAACATATCAACATTTCACATTTCTGAGGTTAAGAATAATGAGTTGAGAAGAGACTGTATTTATCTTTGTAAGATGCCTGTGGGGATGACAAGGAACACCAATTATTAAAATAAAATAAAAATATAAAATACACGTGTAATACATGATTTTTAATAATAATGACTTCATATATTCTGGAATTTTGTTTTGTTATTATCTTTATTTCCTGTTCCTAGAATGGAAACCATATCTGTTACTACTTGTTTTCTCTTAAAAAATTACTACTATTCTATTCTAGCATAAAATATGCTAGAAGAGGTTTTATAGTAATATAATTCAGATTTATGATTTATATGAAGATGTAACATTCTATGAAAAATCAAGGAATACAGCTAATAAGTAATATGCCCTGGTTCAAAGAAGTGCTGACTGCCAGCCACATTCTTTCCAAATTAACACATAACATACTCTGAGCTATTTGCTATTATGGAATCACCCAATATTCTTATAACTTTTGAAGGTGGTAAACTCCTCAAATTAAAACATTTTTTAAGTATTAAAAGAAACATTTGTAAGGCTGTCAGAAATCTGAAAACTCCTCTTCAAAAAAAACCCCAACTTGAGCAGAGAACTCCAAGTCTTCTCAGAATTAAGTGAGTACCAAGGAGACAGCTGCCATTTCTGCCTCCTTCCTGTTCCCAACCTCACTATTAAGAGTTCATGAAAAGCACTAGAAGTTTGTCCCTGAAAGGGTTAAGTGGAGCCCTGCCAACTGCAAACAGGCCACTAGACTCCGCTCCAGCTCCAATAACCCCATTCGCTAACCCCATTCAGATCACTGAAGGCCATGGAAGAATCTCCTCCACCACAAAGAACCATAAGAAAAAGAAATCTTCATTTAATCCTTCAAACTCAGTACCTTTTCCTTCAAGAGAAACCAATAGGATGGATGTAGACTGTTTCCCCCGACCCTCAAATTCTTCAGCCAAAGTGAGGTATCTATACTCACAGCTCCCTATATACTGTTTGCCCCACCTCCCTATCCTGAATTTATGGCTGAGGATAATGTCTTAACTAATGTTCTAGAAATATATTATCTGGTTGAGAATCAACTCTATGCCCATTTTGTATCTAGTCCTGAGGCTACAGACTTAGCCGAGGGGTAGGGTGAGTAGATAATGTGCAACAATTTCTTGTGCCCTGTGTGTACAAGCAAATAATTTCTAACAGCCATACTCTAAATTTTACATTAAAAAGAAAATTGACCAAATTATCCTACCCCATATAATTTTTACTGTAATATTTGGAGAAGAAATAAATGTCAGCCCCTTAAAAAAAAGCTCTAAATTAAATGTATCATTGACTGGTCCTATCTATACTTGGAAGTGCTTTAAATGCTAACCCAGTGTCATAGTTTCTTCATAATTCTGACTTACAAATCAAGTATCTTCAAGATGCCAACAAACCCTTTTATAAAATCTACCTCATACTTTTTAAAATTCCTAATCTACCTCATTCTTAACTGCTAGAAGACAATTAAGACAAGTAATTAAGAGATTAATTTTTTTTAAATTATAACTTTCACCTAGGTTTCTGGATTTTTTTAACTGCTTTGAAATAGATGCTTAAACAGAAGAAGTAACCAAAATAAATCCACTAGTAATTTCTAACATTTCATTTATCTTCCCCTTATACTTGGTCTATATAATGCTACACTGCTTTGCCAAAGTGTTATATGTGTGCCATGGTATTGATCCCCTTAGGCCTCAGGTGGCCAGGAGCCTGGAGTAGCAGGGGCACCCTCCTCCAGTTATCTCAGTAAAGAATTTTCTAAGTGTGTCATAACACAAAATCGCTTAGGAAATCCTGCACTAAGGGATAATGTACATTTACTGGAGAAAATCACTTCTATTTTAAACAGTCAGTGGTAAGTGAAAGTACATTCTGTAGAAGGCATGGATTCCTACTAATCCCAGACACAAAACAGTGTTAAGTTTTAGCTCCAAGCTAAACTAAACAAAACTCATGTTTTCAATAATCCTAACTTTAGGGTCCAAATTCTGCTAAATTCCAAGATAATAACAATACCAATAAATTAAACATTTATTATATGCCATGGACCTTAAATGCTTACATATGTTAATTATTTCATATAATTCTTATTGAAACCTACTGGGTTAGATGTTAACATCCCTCCAGAAAGAAAACTAGTATTGTGGAAGTTAAATAGAGGGCCACAGCCACCTGAGAATGTTTAAGATTTCAGAATTTTTTGTATATTAGATAGTAGAACATTTCCAGAGATCTATTGGCAGCACTCCAAAAATCAAATACATTAACATTTCTGTAGCAACGTGTATGCACAGTCACACTAAATGAGATAAACAAAGGCTATAAATAGCTTTTCATCCATTCAAGTCTCATTTTGCCACCAAATAAGTTATGAAAAGACTAGCAATTTCCAAAGCTTTCTGGGTTTCAGAGTTAGGGGATATATATCTACGATCTGCTCAAGATCACAGAGGGAGGTGGTATCATACAATAATTAATATGGGCTTTGGTGTTTTATTGAACTCAGTTTAGATCCTAGCTTCATCACTTACTACTGTGATAGGCTTGCGTTTCTAGAAGTGACTCTGTGCTGTTCTGTGGATTAAAAGAGGTATGGAATAGCCATTACCTGGCTCATAGTAAACACTAAATAAATGCTTGCTACTAATAACACAGCTTATTAAGATAAATGAAGGACAGTGGGATTCAAATTCTTGTTAGCCTACCTGCAAAATGTTTGTCAAGGGCATCACTACCCCTATCAAACAGTAAACTGAAACTTTCAAGGTAAATATAAACACACACTTGTCTAAATGTTCTACAGTTATTCCCACTCACAAAATTGTATCACTGATTTTTATAACATTTGTATAAAATAGTTACAGAAACAAGAGATCTTTATTTCTTATCATTGATAAAAAAGGTAATGTCTTTCATGATGCTTGTTATCTTTTTGATAAATGTATCACTGATTAGATTTAATTTTCTCCATTAATTGTTTGTTCTTAAAAATAACTATATTATCTCCAGTTTCCTGCAGTCTCCTTTGGGTATAGGCCTTTTATGTCTAATCAGATGTAATTAGAAAACACACATACACACACAAAAAACAGCATTCATGTCAAGGAAAAGAAATCTACTTTTTTGAAGTCCTATGATAAACATAAGATTTTTGCAACATCTTTAGAATGCCTCCGTTTTTGAAGCAGGAAAAATAAAAGCTGATTTACTTTTTGAGGGAAATCTTTTCTAGTCATTAATATATGTTTTCACAGAGGAGTGGCAACCAAACAGAGCTTGTCAGTGGAGAGAGAACAGAGCTAACAGAAAGAGATGCTAGTCTATAAATGATATATTAAGAAGCTATTCTAAAACATCTCCTAATCTTTGTCAATGATATAAAAGCAATAATACTTTCCATAATGCTTGTCACTTTAGAATATTTCTAAATTATAAGTTATAAATATAAAATGCTTGGGCGCCTGGATGGCTCAGTCAGTTAAGCGTCTAACTCTTGGTTTCAGCTCAGGTCATGATCAGGGTCCTGAGATCAGGCCCTGTGTCAGGGCTCCATGCTTAGCATGGAGTCTGCTGGAGATTCTTTCTCCTTCCTCCTGCTCATGCTCTCTCTCTAAAATAAATAAAATAAAATCCTTAGGGGGAAAAAAAACCCTCAAAATTATCTTTTTTACAATAAGATTTCTACTTTCAAACAGGATGCAATAAGTCATGTCTCTGCTCTAGCTAGAACTAAAATAAAGGCAAGTACAGGTGACCCCTAAACACAGATTTCAACTGTGTGGGCCCACTTATACATATATATATATATTTTTTTTGGATACAGTCCAGTACTGTATTTTCTCTTCCTTATGATTTTCTTAATAACATTTTCTTTTCTCTAGGTTACTTTATTATAAAAATATAGTATATAATACATATAGCATACAAAATATGTGTTAATCAACCATTTGTTATCAGTAAGGCGTCTGATCAACAGTAGGATATTAATAGTTAAATGCTGGGGAAGTCAAAGGTTACACACAGATTTTCTTTTCTTTCTTTTTTTTTTTTTAAAGATTTTATTTATTCATGAGAGACACAGAGAGAGAGAGGCAGAGACACAGGCAGAGGGAGAAGCAGGCTCCACGCGTGGAGCCTGACGTGGGACTCGATCCCAGGTCTCCAGGATCACACCCCGGGCTGAAGGTGGCGCTAAACCGCTGAGCAACCGGGGCTACCCACACACATTTTCGACTAATGGGTTGATGCCTCTAACCCCTGCAGTGTTCAAGGGTCAAATGTAATTGATTACCTCTCTAAATCTTAAAGATATCAGACAGTTACAGGTGTGCCTGGGTGGCTCAGTTGGTTAAGTGTCCAACTCTTGGTTTTGGCTCAGGTCAGGATCTCAGGGTCCTGGGATGGATCCCCGACTCAGGCTCCCCATTCAGCAGGGGAGGATTAGGATTTTCTCTGTCCCTCTCCCTCTGCCTGAACCCACCTCCCTGCTTGTACTCTCTCTATAAAATAAATAAAACTTAGAAAAAAACAAAGAAAAGATACATATCAGAGAGTTACAGAATCAATGATGACTAGATGAATGTAAATTCTAGGCTGCAAGGA